ATACCCCTATTCTCCCAGATGTATGCATGGCTGTGATCCCTCACCTCCCTGAAGTCTTCGCTCATATGTCACCTTTCTTATGACTAACAATGATATTTAAAACTGCACTACCCGGCCGGGCACGGTGGCTCACGCCTGTAATCCCAACACTCTGGGAGGCCGAAACGGGCGGATGCCTGAGCTCAGGAGTTCGAGACAGGCCTGGCCAACACGGCGCAACCCCATCTCTACTAAAAATACAAAAAATTAGCCAGGCGTGGTGGCGCGGGCCTGTAGTCCCAGCTACTCGGGAGTTTGACGCACGAGAATTGCTTGAACCCAGCAGAGGTTGCAGTGAGCCTCTCTGCAGATTGCATAGGCTGGAGTGAAGTAGATCGCGCTACTCTTCACTCCACCCCGGGCGACAGAGGCACTCTGTCTCCAAAAAAGAAAAGAAAAGAAAAAAAAAAAGAAAACCCTGCACTACTTACCATTCTTCTTTGTTTTATCTCTCTCCACTGCACTCTTAACCTTCTAATGCACAATATTTTATTTTGTTTATTGTCTGTCTTCCTACACAAGAGAGATATTAATATTAAGCTCCGTAATATTTTTTGTATGTTCTGCTCACTGCTATATACCTAAATTCTGGTACATACTTGGAATTCAATAAACAACTGCTAAATGGAATTAACAGGCAACAGGAAAACATTCCAATCAGATATATTTTGAGATACTAATGACCAGACTCCAAGAGTGCAGAGGCAAGGCAGAGTGGAGTGAGAAAACGGAGAAAGGGGAGAGGAAAGAACGGGGAAAAAAGGTAAAGGGGTTGACCCACGTGGAAAAATAGCCTACCTGGAGAGTTGAAGGACTTCTGATGCCGAGGAAACCTATCAGAAGACTGTCTCCAATACCATGATGTCGAAGCGTGGAAATTCCAAGGTTGGCCGTTGGGTTGAGGTTGAGAATCAAGAGGGGACTGGGCGTCGAAAGGGGGTTGCGCCCCGGGAAGAATCTGGGCGTCGAAGGGGGGCGGCGCCCCAGGAAGAGACTGGGCCTCCATGGGGGGCTGCGACTCAGAGGAAGGCTTTGACCCGGCTGCGGGAAGCGAGGACGTAAGCGGTGGTGGCGGCGGCGGCAGCATTGCCCAGAACACCCAGCTGTCCCGTGGCGGGGCAGTGTCGCTCAGCGGCCCTAACGTGGGAGTCAGCTCGGGAGACGCACGCCACCCGGTAGGAGTCACGAAATCACTAGCCGGCTCAGCCATACCACCTGCCGGGTCCGGAGTCTAGCACGCGACTGTGGAGCAAGCATTAGGCGTCACTTCCTTTACGGTGAACTACGGCGCTCAGCCAACCACAGGCCTTACGTCATTGGTCGGCGTCGGGAAACCTTCCATTCTTCGCTGCTGATCGCGGGATTCCATTTGGGTAGTTTTGACGTTGGTGGATAGACTCGTATCTGTGACCAGTGTCAGCCACCGCGGATGGCAAGAGACCTAATCGGACCGGCCCTGCCGCCCGGCTTCAAGGCCCGCGGAACAGCGGAGGACGAAGAGCGGGACCCCAGCCCTGGTAAGCGGCTGCGTCTCCGCTGCCCACCAGGCCCATCTACCCCCTCCCTGGGCCGGCCCTGCTCGCTGAAGAAAGTCGGAGGCCTAGGAGGGCTGAGGAGTGGGGAGTGGGCGCGGCCCGAACCGAGAGAACTTTTCTTCCCTAACGGTAGCAGTGGGGAGGAGGCTGGGGGACCCTCCTAGAAACCGAGCTTTTGCGTGATTTGGCTTCGTGATGATAATACATTCTCATTTAGCGCTTAATAAGAGCTGCACGCTGCCCTAACTGACTGATACCCATTCAGTCATTTAAGCCGTATAAGGAAAAGACTATTTTCCCATGTTGCAAATGGGTACGCCCAAGCCCATGCCAGCGTAGATCATACTGCTAGCAAGTGATGGAGCGC